AAAATGTTACTAACAATATATTTCTGCCTCATCATTTGACCAAAATCCACACTGGATCACAGTCAGAAATTTTTACAAACGCTTAATGCTGATTGATAGTGACGTTTAAGTAAAAGTGTTGTATTATTCTCATCGTGTAGCTTGAAGCTATAATTTCTGTTACCCATATATGATTATATTTCATGATGTATTTTATCAAAAGAAATAGCATAAATTCATGAGAAAATGCTTTGTTTTCTAAAAAGATTTTTAATTCTAGTAATGCAGTTTATATCGGGATCAGAGCATCTTTTGCTTTCCATCCGCCGAATGTAAGCTTCTCCATATTCCAAGCTTTCCTGCTTGGACTTCATGTGTTTATGAGTTCATAAAATTATGAAAATCCAGGAATTACTGGATTGTTGAACTTTAAATCAGTAGGGGTTGAGGAATCAAAAGTAACTAAGTAATGAGCTGTTTTATGGATGGAAACTGTAATATTATTACTGAAACCTTATTAGTAATTAGTTACACTACTAGCTAGTGCAAAAAGTAATAGTATTACTGTAACTAGTTACTAGTCACACAAGCCAGAAGATCACAGAGACACGAGGATGCAGGACTCTTGAGCACCAGACAAGAAAAGAAAAACCACACAGAACCTCTGTGGTGGACAAATGCATTTCCTTTAGAAATGTACAAATTTGGTTTAACCAATGAGATTATATGTCCTTTAAATGTGCTCAGAGGTTAACATTTAAAGCTGATGGTGAGTGTGTGTATATACTATAATCAATATTAATTGTAGGGGAGAGCGGGGTGAGTTGAGCCCATTTTTACTTATGGTGTTTGTAAAGCGAGCACATGACAATAATGGGTCCAACTTAAATATGTACATAAACTTCAGGATGTGGTGCATCCTTGGGAATGATCACTTTGGATATAAAATAAACTGCTTTCAAAATATGGCTTTCCAAAACAAAAGTGGTCTCTTGGCTCAACTTACCCCCAGTGAGGGGTAACTGTAGCCTAGGGAGAGGGTAAGTTGAGCCACATGGAGTTAAACTGTGCCATTGTTTATGCAGAAGTAAAACGGAACATTTTTGAACCTCAATCTACATCAAAGGAATAGAAATGCAATAAAAATGACTTTTTAAAATCTGTGTTTAAAATCCAGGGTTTTTCTCCACCTGTGGCTCAACAGAGTTTTATTAAAAGATACAGTTCACAACTTCAAAGGCATTTTAATTATTAAAAAATTTCAGAATAAATTAAAGTTCAAATTGAAGAGTTAAAAAAAAAACTTCAATTGACCATACAGAACTGGGCTAACAATTTCATAAAAACGTCAATGGACAATTTTCATAAACAAGGCTTATTTAAAATTTTCAGAACAAAATTTTAAAAAAATGTTTGGCCTAAAATTTATTAAATACAATGTAGAATTGCAGTAAAATAATACTTTATAATCATAAGAGGTGTTGAGCCACTGGCTCAAATTACCCCACTCCTACCTTTTTAACAAACTTGCATCATCCAGCAGATTAGGGCTAACATCATGCAAAGAGTATAGCCTCATAACTTCCTAAAGCACAAACACATGTGTGATATTTTCTCAGATTTGTATGTAATTGTTCAGATGAAGCATAAAAAAGTACATAAATGTAGTCACCAATCATTCCGTGGGCCATCACAGGGTGAGTAAAATGGATAACTCTTCATATATTTGTGGTCATATTACTAATTTTGTTTAAGGTTGTCTAGAAACAAGGGGTGGCTATATATCATGTCACCCTATATATCATGGCTGCAGCATTTCTGGAGCCTCCTAAAGTCTGGAGCATCATAAATGATGATTGTGAAGTCAGAGGTGATCTGTGATCCGGTCTGAGGAGGATTTGGCCTGTCCTAGAGGTCAGAGCTTGAGGTCTTCTGGAGGACACTTTCTGCTGGACAAAGTCCTCATCTATCCCTTTAGAGAGTCTGATTATACCACGTGAGAGGCGGGTTTAACCCGGGTCTGATACAGGAATAGAGCTGTAGGTGGAGTCCTGGAGGACTGAAGGGCCGGAGAGACTTCAGCGTGTGATTATGGCTAATCCCTCCTTAAATAACCCTGAGCGGTGAGCTAATGTTGTGCAGGACGAGGACAATACTTCTGAACAGAGAGAGTGTATTTCATGTCAGCTGGAGTCCAGGATGAATTTTGCAGCGCAGTTTTTTGCTAACTTCGTGAAGGACGGCCTGCAGGCGCAGGAGACGCGGAGGAGCTTTAGTGACAGCGAGGAATACGATCCCTTCTGGCAGAGGTGGGAAACTGTAGCATGTGCGTCAAAGGTTTTTGAAGAGTAAGATTTTTCATGTTTTTTAAAGAAGTCTCTTCTGCTCACCGAGCCTGCATTTATTTGATCCAAAGTACAGCAAAAACTGTAAAATTGTGAAATATTTTTGCTGTACTTTGGATCAAATAAATGCAGGCTCGGTGAGCAGAAGAGACTTCTTTAAAAACATTAAACATCTTACTGTTCAAAAACTGTTGACTGGTAGTGTGTGTCTGAAACCCTTAGAGAGTCTCCAGCTGCTTCCCAGTGTCCTCCTGAGTCTGAGAGAAGTGATGTGACGGGTGTAGCGGATCCGCTGTGTTCTCCTTCCCATCCTGTGCTTCCTCCATCCACTGACTCACACTCAACCCTTGAGACGCCCAAACCTGGACCAGAACTCACACTGAGACACCAGGCTTCATCTCCATCACCGTCAGCATCTCCTCTTCCTCATCCCGCTCCGAGAAAACCCAGCAGGTCTCAAGCTGGAGCTTCAAAGAGGACTGATGCTCCTCAGCCCGCTTCCAAAGCTCCCGATCCTTCTCCTGTAGAAGCAGCAGACCCGTGCTCATCCGTAGCTCTGCCTCCGTTCCCACAGCTCACAGAGAACGCCACTCTCCTGTCGCTCCTCCAAGCTTTAGTCTACATCCTCCTCAGACTCTTCCTCACCTTCATCCTCCTCTTCCTGCCACGGTAAACGTGTGAGAGAATGAGAGCTGAGAGAGATCTTTTATTAATGTATGACAATAACCCTGTAAAGCCTGATTTATAAAATAATAGTCAGAATTTTTTTTTTTTTTAATGTTAGACAAAATATTTTAAAAGTTTGCATATGCGTTTTTTTGATGCATCAGGATTTTATGGCTTATATATTCTGATAAAGTGGAGGAAAAAACAGCTCTATTTTATTCAGAGACTCAAACTGAAGAAAATTTTTTATTTTCTGCAGATGCTGATATTTGTATGATGAAATTCTAATGCTTGTAATGATGCTCAGTATAGCAGGCAGTAGATTGAGTGTGAAACAGGTTTAACAGCAAAGATTGATCATTTAGAAATGTGTGCATCAAATTTCATCATCATCAAAAATGATGTGCATCAAAAAAATCAAAGGGTTCATCAGAGGGTGTTTCTCTATAACAGAGACGCTGTGACGTTGGAATGAGGGAAGAGGTCAGACCTGCAGAGCTCAGATATTAATAGACTTCAGTGCTGGACACACGGCCACAGACACTGAAATACTATTAACTTCACTTTACACGGCTGAGTTAAGGCTGCTCACAATTCAGACGGATGCAGCATAAAAGCCAGACTAAATTAAACCAGCTCTGACCTACCGCAGCAATCAAAGGCAGTTAATTTAAGCAGTTGTAATTGCTGTGTAAATGCACCTCTGAGTCGTACGCCACGTAAAAAACTAAATATATATATCAAATTATGAGAATAAAGTCTAAATATTTTGAGAATAAAGTTGAAAATACGAGAAAGTCAAAATATTTTTGAATAAAGTCAAAATTACGAGAATAAAGTTGAAATATTTTGAGAATAAAGTCAAAATAACGAGAATAAAGTCAAAATATTTTGAGAATAAAGTTGAAATTATAAAAATAAAGTCGAAATTACAATGAAGTTGAAATATTTTGAGAATAAAGTCAAAATTACGAGAATTATATCATAGCAAATTACGAGAATAAAGTCGTAGCAGTATAAGAATAAGGTCAAAATATTTTGAGAATAAAGCTGAAATTACAAAAATAAAGTCGAAATTTCGAGAATAAAGTTGAAACATTTTGAGAATCAAGTCAAATTTACTAGAATAAAGTCATAATATTTTGAGAAAAAAATTACGAGAATGAAGTCGTAGCAATATGAAAATAAAGTCTAAATATTTTGAGAATGAAGTGGAAATTACAAAAATAAAGTTGAAATTACGAGAAAGTCAAAATATTTGTAGAATAAAATCGAAATTATGAGAATAGTTGAAATATTTTAAGAATCAAGTCGAAATAACGAGAATAAAGTCGAAATATTTTGAGAATCAAGTCAAAATAACGAGAATTAAATCATAGCAAATTACGAGAATAAAGTCGTAGCAATATCAGAATAAAGTCAAAATATTTTGAGAATAAAGCTGAAATTACAAAAATAAAGTCAAAATTACGAGAATAATGTTGAAATATTTTGAGAATAAAGTCGAAATTACAAAAATAGAGTCGAAATTACGAGAAAGGCTAAATGTTTTTAGAATAAAGTCGAAATTACAAGAACAGTTGAAATATTTTAAGAATCAAGTCGAAATAACGAGAATAAAGTCGCAATATTTTGAGAATCAAGTCAAAATTGTGAGAATTAGTCGAAATATTTTGACAATCAAGTGAAAATTATGAGAATTAAGTCGAAATATTTTTACAATCAAGTGAAAATTACAAGAATTAAGTCGTAGTAATATGAAAATAAAGTCAAAATATTTTGAGAATAAAGTGGAAATTACAAAAATAAAGTTGAAATTACGAGAAAGTCAAAATATTTGTAGAATAAAATCAAAATTATGAGAATAGTTGAAATTACAAAAATAAAGTCGAAATTACGAGAATAGTTGAAATATTTTAAGAATCAAGTCGAAATAACGAGAATAAAGTCAAAATATTTTGAGAATCAAGTCAAAATAACGAGAATAAAGTCTAAATATTTTGAATCAAGTCAAAATTACGAGAATTAAATCATAGCAAATTACGAGAATGAAGTCGTAGCGATATGAGAATAAAGTCTAAATATTTTGAGAATAAAGTTGAAATTACAAAAATAAAGTCGAAATTACGAGAAAGTCAAAATATTTTTAGAATAAAGATGAAATTACGAGAATAGTTGAAATATTTTAAGAATATTTTAGACACCAAATCACCAAACCTGTTGGAGCACTACCGAGAAAATTTTTTATAATGCAATTTCTGATTTCTTGTCATAAATTTAAATTTAATACTAAATATAATAACATTTATATAATTAAACATGACAATAAAATGTATATTATATTTAATATGGCATTTTGCTAACACTTTACATTAAGGTTCCATTAACTAACATTAGTTAACTACATTTGTTAACATGAACTAACAATTAAAAATACTTCTAAAGCATTTATTATTTTTAGTCAGTGTCAATTTCAACATTTACTAATGCATTAGTAAAATCAAAAGTCATATCTATTAATAGTATTTAATGGAGCTGAGCTAACATGAACTAACAATGAACAGTTGTATTTTTATTGACTAACATTAACAAAGATTAAATACTGTAACAAATGAATTGCTCATTGTTAGTTAGTTAGTTAATGCATTAACTGATCTTAAGTAATGGGACCTTATTGTAAAGTGTTACTGATATTTCTACATACCTGTTATTTTAGTATCATTGAAGTACAATTTTTTATTGTTTTTATTTTTATATTTTCTGTTTTCATTTTCATGTTAAAGTTTTAGTAACTTTGTTGTGTGATTTTGTTGTTTTATATATGTCTATAAAGGTTTTTTGTATTTTTGTTTTTGTTTTTTTAGTACATCAAGTTAAACTAAATTCAAATGAGAAATTGGCAACTAGTAAAAATAAAAGGCTTTTTATATTTTATTTTATTTCAGTTCATGTTTATTTAAAGTAACTATTTTTTGATGGTTTTAATTTCAGTTTGTTTTAGTTTTAGTTATTATAAAACCTGCTGCATACATTTACATTTCTTCATTTACAGTGACTTGGCAATTTGTCATAAGAGTCACAGTATTTCTAGAGCAGGTTTAGTAAAAACTATATTATTAAACAAGCTAGAGTGACACACACACTCACACATACACACACATGCTTCTCTCTTTTGATGCTTATGAAAGTACCATAAGTATGAAAGAATTGCATGATCATGTTATTTAGACATATATTTAAAAGTATATATATCAGTGTATGTATGTATATATATGAATGAATATAATGAATTTACTATATTTTAGTTCAATATTTATTCCTTAAGATTTTGTATTTTACAGTAGTAAACATTCATATTTTATTTTATTTTTATCAGGCTTTGCATTTTGATATATATATTTAGACATAATCAAAGAGTATGTTTTGTAAAAGTTTTTTTATTTATTTTAATGTCTGTGATACTTCGCTTCTTTGGGGGTATAAATTCACTGAAAACAGAGCACTTGTTAATCAGTGCTTGTTACAACACAGTTGTAATTCCTGAACGCTTTGAAATACAGACCTAAGGTCGGTCTCTTTTTAAAGAAGACGCATAGCAGATTATTGCTGAAGTGAAAGCATTTCAAAATAAGAAAGTGTAAAAAAGTTTAAGTTTACAGTAAAGGTAATGTAGTATACTATTTTTATTTTATTTTATATAAAACAAATATTTTATAAAATGTGTTGCACTCTAAAATTTCTATGACATCAAAGCCATATGTAACCAAGTTGTGTTCCAAATTTGAAGTTGATATCACAAAAATGGTGGCTATTGTGAGATTTTGTTTGGGCGCTATACCAAAAATAACCACTGGGTTTCACCCAAACTCAGTTTTCTGTCACAAATCAATAATTTTCTATCACATTACAAAACATTCACCAAATATGGAAGCTTGACTGTCAGATTTTCTAACGATATGCGTTTTGTCAAGATTACAAAAAGATTTGATTTTATAAAACACAAGCCACAAAAATCTATATGTATGTTTTCAAATCTTGATTTATAACCCTAAAAGGGCGACGTATTCCCTGAGATACAAACATTTAGAGACAGATAACAAAAAAATTAAGCATTTAATTCTTACATTTTCAATGCAAACATAATAGGCTAATGCTGAACAACAGCTTTTTAAACAGGCAAGTCCCCTCAAACGTGTAAATATGTGAACTAGATCAACTTTTATAAGAGGGTGAGTAGATTTCCCACGACAGGCAGCCATGCAGTTTTAAATGCTGCCCGTGAGCTAAACAAAAAATGTAGAAACAAGTCACCTCATCTAAATATTCACAAAAAACACCCTTTCAAAATGAGACCTACACTTTCACTGCTTCTCCCCACAGCTTCTCAAAAGTTTGTGTCCCTCAGGATACATCGCCCCTTTTAGGGTTAAAGACGTTCTTCTGACTGCTAAAAATGAGAGGCTTTTGCCAAATGAACCGTCAAACTCATGAAGGTGTGCGCTCTGCCCGCAGTACTCCAGACTGTCCAAACTGTACGGCATGGAGATCTTCCTGAAGAAAGAGCATCTGCATTACACGGGTTCAGTGAAGGAAAGAGGAGCGCTGTACCTGCTGTCCTCTCTCAAACAGGTCAGACCTGCCTCACCTTTAACACACACCAGTATATACAGTATCTCACACAGACACACAGCATAAATATCACAGCAAGAGTCATGCACAAACTTCAGACCTGCCTCACCTTTAACACACACCAGTATACACAGTATCTCACACAGACACACATCATAAATATCACAGCAAGAGTCATGCACAAACTTAATTTACAGACAAAGCATCGGTTTGTAATGATACAACCATAGATTTAATGTTACAATGAAGTGTTCAATTCTGCAGAAACACACTCTTAGTGATTTAATACAATGAAAGTCATACACTTTTAGGTGTGACTTAACTATCCAGATACATTTGCGAGCCATTGTAATTTCTGGTTCCCTATCTTTCGGTCACTACGAGTTAGGTCGAACGACATATGGGGTCTCACTTGGGAGGCCAATCATCTCTGATTTTAAGAGAAAACGCTAATGAAAATTGGCTAGTGGATTTTGCATACCTGAGCCACTCCCCATGCATACGGGTATAAATAGGTGACAGGTGCATCCACTCTTCAGATTTTTGCTTCGGAGCCGAGTAGTTGATGTTGTATATTCACTACAAAGCCATTCATCTTTGTGTTCGGAGGGCTGTTCCTGGTTGGTGTTATGGCACGTTACAGCGGTGTCTGTCATCAGCGATTCCCCTGAGCGCTTCAGCTAAAAGAGCAGTTTCCTCTAAAAGAGCAAATCACGGACGATTCGCTTTTTCAAGATGCCTTTTCGTCCGTGTCCTTCTGGATGCAGTCGTTTCCTGTCCTCTGTGGACGGCCACGATCGCTGTCTTCAGCTTTACAGAAACTCGCTGATCTGATCACAGACACAGAACAACAACACCCGGACTCTGTTTTAATCATTCTCGGGGACTTTAATAAAGCAAATCTCTCCCGTGAACTGCCAAAATACAGACAGCACATCACATGTCCCACCAGAGACAGTAACATACCTGGCAATAAAGCTCATTCTGATTCTGATTCTGATTCAGTGTCTGGGCCTTCAGCACGCTGAAGTGGCGTTCGTGGATGAGTCATGCGTCTATTGTGGGCGTATGAACATGGCAGCGCTGCGATCGCGCCTCTCGCTCCTCAAGGGGAGTGCAGCAGACCCCTCTGTCACTACCCATCCCAGTTTCTCTGCCGTGAGCAGAGGACCGCCGGCTAGTGCTCTGGGAGATCTGAGGGTGACTGTGAGAGCTTCTCCGCCGGGCCACGCCCCACAGACCTCTCACTCCTCCCGCAGCGCCTGTTCCGTGCGGCCGCCGGATGATTCTGCTGGGTCGTTTCACGGCAGTCCCAGCGTGTCATTCGGTGTGCCGCCAGAGGATCAGATGTTGATTGCAGCATCAGGGGATGGGCCCTCGGGTGTTGTCGCCACAGCCGAATCGGACCCAGAGTTGTCGGCCATGCTTGCCCGGGCAGCCGTGAACATCGGGCTGTAGGTGAATACACCGCCCAGCCCTGAGCACTCACGGCTGGATGATTGGTTTCTCGGCGCGGAGCGCGGCTCACAACCGCTTTCTGCTCCGGTTCCTTTCTTCCCGGAGGTGCATAAAGAGGTGACGAAGTCGTGGACAGCCCCTTTCACGGCCAGAAGCCGCTCGTCTCCCTCTTCCATCCTCACTACCCTCGATGGCGGGGCGGCCAGGGGCTACGTGGACATTCCCCAGGTGGAGAGAGTGGTTGCGGTGCACCTGTGCCCGCAAAACGCCGCCACTTGGAGGAATCGTCCGCATCTCCCGTCCAAGGCCTGTAAGCTGTCGGCGGCTCTCGCTGCCAAAGCTTACAGTGCCGCGGGCCAGGCTGCCTCTGCCTTGCATGCCATGGCTATCCTGCAGGTACACCAAGCCAAGGCATTAAAACAAATGCACGAGGGTAGTACCAACCCGAGGTTGATGCAGGAGCTGCGCACGGCGACTGACTTCGCCCTCCAGGCGACGAAAGTCACGACGCGGTCCCTCGGGAAGGCGATGTTCGCTCTGGTGGTCCAGGAGCACCATCTGTGGCTCAACCTGGCCGAGATGAGAGACGTTGACAAGGTTCACTTTCTCAACGCTCCCATCTCCCAGGCTGGCCTGTTCGGCGACACTGTCGAGGAATTTGCCCAACAGTTCTCGGCAGTACAAAAGCAGACTGAGGCCATACAACAAATGGCCCGGTCGCGAGAGGAGTTGTGCGATCACAGGGACTTCGTGTTTCGGCACCTCAGTCAGTTGGGGCTTCAGGTCAACCGAGAGAAGAGCAAGCTCTCCCCTGTGCAGAGAATCTTCTATCTCGGTATGGAGTTAGACTCGGTGAGTATGACGGCACGTCTCACCAACGAACGTGCCCAGTCGGTGCTGAACTGCCTGAGTTCCTTCAGAGGCAGGACAGTGGTGCCACTGAAATATTTTCAGAGGCTCCTGGGGCATATGGCATCTGCAGCCGCGGTCACGCCACTCGGATTGCTTCATATGAAACCACTTCAGCACTGGTTACACTCCCGAGTCCCGAGGTGGGCATGGCACCGCGGTACACATCATGTCACCATCACACCAACGTGTCGCCGCCTATTCAGCCCCTGATCGGACCTTGCTTTTCTACGGGCCGGGGTGCCCTTAGAACAAGTGTCCCGGCATGTCGT